AGACAGAGTCTCACTATGTTGCCCTCCGTAGAGTGCTGTGGCATCATAGCTCACAGCAACCTCCAACTCCTGGGCATCATAGCTCACAGCAACCTCCAACTCCTGGGCTTAGGCACTTCTCTTGCCTCAGCCTCCTGAGTAGCTGGGATCACAGGCACCCACCACAATGCCTGGCTGCATTTTGTTGCAGTTTGGCCGGGGCCAGGTTTGAAACCACCACCCTTCGTATATGGGGCTAGCGCCCTACCCATTGAGCCACAGGTGCTGCCCCACAAATTCAGTTTTTTTAATTGAAGATTCAATTTTTGTAATAGATACAGGGTTGTGCAGGTTTTCTTGTCTTGTCTTTTTTTTTTTTTCCTAAGAGACAAGAGTTGCCAGGTGAGGTGGCTCATGCCTGTAATCCTAGCGCTTGGGAGGCCAAGGTGGGTGGATTGCCTGAGCTCACAGGTTTAAGGCCAGCCTGAGCCAGAGGGAGACCTTGTCTCTTTAAAATAGTCGGGTGTTCTGGTGGGCACCTGTAGTCCCAGCTACTTGAGAGGAATTGCTTAAGCCCAGGAGTTTGAGGTTGCTGTGAGCTGTGATGCCACAGCACTCTACTAAGAATGACAAAGTAAGACTGTGTCTCAAAAGCAAAACAAAGCATAAATAAAATAAAGAGACAAGAGTCTTACTCTGTCCCCCAAGCTGAAGTACAGTGGTGCAATCCTATCTCATTGTAACCTTGAACTCTTGGGCCCAGCCGATCCTCCTGTGTTGGCCTCCTGAATAGCTGAGATTACAGGTGTACACCACCATGCCAGGTGAATTTTTTATGTTTATTTATTTATTCATTCATTTACCTATTTGAGACAGAGTTTCACTTTCTCACCCTTGGGCATCATAGCTCACAGCAACCTCAAACCCTTGGGGTGTTCAAGCAGTTCTCTTGCCTCAGCCTCCAAGTAGCTGGGACTATAGGTACCAGCCACAGCACCCAGATCTTTTGAGGGATGAAGTCTTATTCTGGCTCAAGGTGGTCTTGAGCCTGTGAACTCAGGCAACCCACCCACCTTGGCCTCCCAGAATGCTAGGATTATAGGCGTGAGCCACTGTGCCCAGTGGAATTTTTGATTTTTTTTTTAGAGATTGAGTCTCAGGGTGGTCCAGGCTGGTCTCGAACTCCTGCCCTTAAGCATTCCTCCTGCCTTGGCCAGTAAAAGTACTGGGATTATAGGCATGAGCCACCACACCTACCCCCATTTTCATTATTTTAGTGGTTACTTTAGGCTTTATTGTACGCATCTTCAGCTTGTCACAGGCGTCCCCTGCGGTATCATACCTCTTTGTAGGCAGCGTGAGAACTTAGTGGTGGTCCTCCCAGCATCTCTCATCACATACTTCACTTGTGTGCATGTTGTAAGCCTCACCGTAGTTGTTTCAGTGGTCAGTTAGCGTTAAAGATATTTAAATAGTAAAAAAATCTTCTGCATTTACATAATCACCAGTCTTAGAGCTCCCTATATCTTCTGTTTAGATACATATTTTCATTTTCTTTCTTTTTTTTTTTTTTTTTTGAGACTTTGAGACAGAGTCTAAAGCTATTGCTCTGGGTAGAGCACTGTGGCGTCATAGCTCACAGCAACCTCCAACTCTTGGGTTCAAGTGATCGTCTTGCCTCATTTTTTAAATTTTTTTAGAAGAAACAGGGTCTTCCTTTTGCTCAGGCTAGTCTTGAACTCCTGAGCTCAGGCAGTCCACACATCTTGGCCTCCCAGAGTGCTAGGATTATAGGGACATGCTACTGCGCCCGGCCATTCATTTTTATTTGCCTTAAAGATGTCCATTAACCTTCCTACTTTTCTTTTCTTCCCCTCCCCTCCCCTCCTCTCCCCTTCTCTCTTCCCTTCCCTTCCCTTCCCTTTTTTCTTTCTTTCTTTTGAGGCAGAGTCTCACTTTATCACCCTCAGTAGAGTGCTCTGGTGCCACAGCTCACAGCAACCTCCAGCTCTTGGACTTAGATGATTCTCTTATCTTAGCCTCCCGAGTAGCTGGGACTACAGGCACCTGCCAAAATGCCCAGTTATTTTGTTGTTGTTGTTGTTGCAGTTTGGCCAGGGCTGGGTTCGAACCTGCCACTCTTGGTATATGGATGGGGCTGGCACCCCACTCACTGAGTCACAGGCACCACCCCTCTTTTTTTTTTTTTTTGAGACAGAGTCTCACTATGTCACCCTCAGTAGAGTGCTGTGGTATCACAGCTAACAGCAACTTCAAACTCTTGGGCTTAAGTGATTTTTATGCCTTAGCCTCCCAAGTAACTGGGACTACAGGTGCCTGCCACAATGCCTGCTGGCTTTTTGTTGTAGTTGTCATTGTTGTTTAGCAGACCTGAGCCGGGTTCAAATGTGTCAGTGTTGGTCTATACGGCAGGTGCCCTAACCGCTGAGCTATGGGTGGCTAAACCCTGATTATTTATTTATTTATTATTATTATTTTTTTTGAGACAGAGCCTCAAGCTGTCGCCCTGGGTAGAGTGCTGTGGCATTACAGCTTACAGCAACCTCTAGCTCCTGGGCTCAAGTGATTCTCCTGCCTCCACCTCCCAAGTAGCTGGGACTACAGGCACCCACCACGATGCCCGGCTATTTTTTGGTTGCAGCTGTCATTATTGTTTGGTGGGCCTTGGCTGGATTCGAACCTGCCAAAACTCAGGTGTACATGGCTGGCGCCTTAGCCACTTGAGCCACAGGCACTGAGTCTCAATATTTATTTTTAATTAATTCCTCTATTAGCTTGAAAAGAGCAAAGTTATCTTTTTTTTTTTTTTTAAGAGACAGAGTCTCACTTTGTTGCCCTTGGTAGAGTCCTGTGGCATCACAGCTCATAGCAACCTCTAGCTCTTGGGCTTAGGGGATTCTCTTGCCTCAGCCTCCTGAGTAGCCAGGACTACAGGCACCTGCCACAACTCCTAGCTATTTTTTTGTTGCCGTTTGGCTGGGACTGGGTTTGAACCCACCAGCCTCGGTGTATGGGGCCTGTATCCTACTCACTGAGCCACAGGTGCTGCCCAAACCAAATTATCGTGAATGGGACTTCTGCACGTGTGTTAAAAGTATTGGTTTGTTCAATTTAAGTATTTTGAATATATCTCGGTTTTAACCCTCCATCTTCAGTACATGGGACTGGCGTCCTACTCCCAGAGTCACAATTTAAGTATTTTGAATATATCTCAGTTTTAACCCTCCATCTTCAGTACATGGGACTGGCGTCCTACTCCCAGAGTCACAAGTGCTGCCCTTCTTTTTTTTTTTTTTTTGAGATAGAATCTCGCTCTGTGGCCCCAGGCCAGAGTGTTGTGGGGTCATAGCTCACAGAAACCGTAAACTCTTGGCCTCAAGCTATCCTCTTGCCTCAGCCTCCCAAGTAGCTGGGACTACAGGCACCTGCCACAACACCCAGCTATTTTTTGTTGTAGTTGTCATTGTTGTTTAGTTGGCCCAGGCTAAGATCAAACCTGCCAGCCTCAGTGTATGTGTCTGGTGCCCTAACCACTGTGCTTGGGTGCCAAGCCTAAAACCCAGAACATTTAAATAATGTAATGTGGCAACCCTGGAAATCAGATTCTCTTCCCTCCCAGAGTGTGTTGCTGCTGCTACTTGTTAGTCCCGTGACTTTTCAGAACTAAGTCTATAAAGTCTATAGACTTCTACGGCCACTGAAGTCTCTAGTACAGCTTAGCAGCTAGCTAGTGATTGGACTTATTCCCTTGGAAAATACTTACTCACTCCTGGAGCTAGTGAGTGCCCCTTCCAGGCTGTTCACATGGCTGGCCCTTCACTTTCCATCTGTGCAGCATCTCATGGTGAGCCAGAGGTGAGAGCTTAGGGCCCCCTGGGAAGTGCACAGCGCTGTGCACGTGGCAGCAGTCTGTATTTCCAGGGACGTGGCAGAGCTGCTCAGAGCCCCGTAGACATCTCATTCCCTAGCTTTTCTTTTTAGCTCTGTGCTTATCCTGTCGCTTGCTCCAGTGTTCACCTCTGCCTCAGAGAGTTGTTTTTTTTTTGAGACAGCGCCTCAAGCTGTCCCCCTGGGTAGAGTGCTATGGCATCACAGCTCACAGCAACCTCCAACTCCTGGGCTCAAGCGAGTTTCCTGCCTCAGCCTCCCAAGTAGCTGAGACCACAGGTGCCTGTCACGACACCCAGCTATTTTTTGGTTGCAGCCGTCATTATTGTTTGGCGGGCCCAGGCTAGATTTGAACCTGCCACCTTGGGTGTATGTGGCTGGCGCCTTAGCCACTTGAACCACAGGTGCCGAGCCGTGCCTCAGAGAGTTGTGATGTTCCACAGTTGCCTGTGATTGTCTTCAACAAACACCACTAAGGAAAAGGCCATTTGCACTGGACGAGCCCTGAGTCAGGTCAAGTACGGACAGATTTGCGAGTGGAGTCCTTTGGGGAGCTACTGGGCGAGTTAGATCCTCATGGTCTCTGGAAATAGGCTTCACAGGAGCACCAAGCACATTCTGTTCAGGCCCTGCCGGCCACTGGTTTTCACTGTGGCTTTATGGCTACCCTAGAATGGGAGAGGGAGGACTGAGAAGAGGTGGGTTAAAATACCACAGAGCTCACTGTGATACGGAGATGGAGCTGTTTTTCTTGAATATGAACTGCCTGGGTTGCTGAAAGCCTAGGTGTTCCAGAGTTCGGAAAAGTTGATTCTGACCATTCTGCCCTTGTAGCCACTGTGTTTGTTGTTTTTGTGGAGGAGAGAATTTTCAAAGGTCACCACACTGCCATCTTCGTAACATCCCTCTCTGACTTTAAATGCCCCACTCACTGCAAATCAGAAGACCCTTCACAAGGTCAGCTTGTGAGCTTTTTGGTCCCTCCTCATTTGTTGAAAGTGAGAATAAGTTCCTGGGAGTGCTGCCCTGTTACGAGGTCTGCTTTCTTTCTGCAGTCACACGAAGTCACATCCGGATCTAAACGCAACTCTTACTTATCCAAAGCCCAGTCCACGTTCTGTCTCCTTCTTGGGTACATCCCCCGGCATGTCTGAAATTTCTTAAGATATATATCTTCATCAGGACATAATGTATATGTAACTTTTAGCATAAATCAATCAGGTGAGGCCAAAATGGTGGAATTGATGTTTATAGCACTTAATTATAATCTACCTCCTTGTGCCAGGCACTGGACGTACGCAATTGCTGAGGTGTTCTTTTGATAGGTGTTGTTTGCATTTGTAGTTGAGGAAACAGACTTGGGGAAAGGAGCCTTGCTGGAAGCCCCAGCTGTTTTCTGGAGTCAGTGTGGGGTCCAGGTCTTGCTCACAGCTGAACTCTTCCCACTGTGTTGCTCCACATTCCAGGCGGGAGAAATTGGTGTTTTGTGCTGTCAAATACATGGAAGTTTTTTTTCCTAGGTGAATCCCCAGCAATTTATTCTGTATGTCCAAGAAAAAAAAACTTGGAGGAGAGTTAATTAAATTCTAAGTTCAGAAAATGATAGAGATGTGGCCAGGCACTGTGGCTCAAAGTTATAATCCCATCACTCTGGGAGGTGGGTGGACTGTTTGAGCTCAGGACAAGAGTGAGATTCCATCTCTACTAAAGACAGAAAAAATAGCTGGGCATTGTGGTAGACACCTGTAGTTCCAGCTACTCTGGAGGCTGAGGCAAGAGAATCACTTGAGCCCTGGGTCTGAGGTTGCTGTGAGCTATGATACCAATGTATTCTAGCCTGGGGCAATAGGGTGAGACACTCTGTCTCAAAAAAAAAAAAATAAAAGAAAGAAAAGAAAAGCAAACAGTAGAGATATAATCTTCAGAAGTAAGGCAGCATTCCATGGGCTTGTGATTGCAGCACCAGGGTTGCACCCTGCCTTGTACTTTAATAAGGGTGAACTGGACCCAGGAATTTTCTAATGTTCTTCCCAAGCTTTTATTCCAAGAGCTGACTTACCCTATACAGTTGTAACACAAGACTTGATTATGCAAATCCAGATACAAGCCCATTGTGTCTCTTCTGATGTGACTGCAGATATTAAGAGGCAGTGGACACCTCTGTAGAGACTTTTGACTCCCTGTTTGACCAGGTGCATCTTCTGACGGCCCTCTGAAGCTGCTGCCTGAGAGCTACTTCGATGTGGTGGTTATCGACGAGTGTGCCCAGGCCCTTGAGGCAAGCTGCTGGATCCCTCTGCTGAAGGCCAGAAAGTGCATCCTGGCTGGAGACCACCAGCAGCTGCCCCCCACCATCATCTCGCACAAGTAAGACCCCTTTGCCAAGGTGCCTTCCCTGCTGCTCGCCCAGCACCCCTTTATGCTGTCCTTCTGGATCCAGTTGGAAGTCCTGGGTCCCTGGTGTGTGTCCCAGCTACAGTGCTGAGCCCAGGTTGCGGTACCTACTTGTCCAGATGTCTGGCCGCCTGGCCACACACTTCTTTGGAGCCAGCTTGTATCCCCTTTTTCCTGGTAGCCCAGAATCAGGTGCAGGGCCTGGCATTTTCTAGCACCCAGTCGGTGCCTATCAAATTGAATAATCCTAGCGAGCCAAGCTGTTTGGTGGTGCCGTTGTTGGTGAGAGGGGTTCTGTGGGCTGGGCTGACAGCCTTGGGTGGATTAGCTCCCTGCCCGATGTGGACCCTCTAGTTTTCAGTCTGCAGGCCTGTCCCCAGGTGGAGCACACTGGGTGGAGATGTGGTGAGCCCTAGCACGGGCCATCCTGGCAGGAAGAAGTTGGCCACCCTGTCCCTCCCTCACCTCTTCCCCACATGGCCCCGTCCTCACTGCTCAGGGCTTCACAGGCCTCATGTCCCTCTGCCTGACTAGTGCTTCCTGGATGCTGGGTGGTCACACCTCCCTTCAGATGAAACCGCTTTTGGTCTCTCCTGACTGGCCTGTCTGGACAGGGGCCCTGTCACGCGGCTCCCTCCGTGTTCTTTGCTTGTATCACCCCTGTTCATTTGCTGCTCTTCCCACCAGCATGTGGGTTACAGAGGCCTGTGAACAGGGCCCTTTGCTTAGCGTGTCTCTGACCAAGTCCATGGGGAGTGAGGCTGCGGGACCCCTGCCACATGGCCTCTGCCCCTCCCTTCCGAGTTCTGTTGCTGTTGGACAGTGCTCTGTCTCCCCACGGGTCTGGACAGGTCACCACTGAACTTGGAGCTCCTGTCATTTTCTGAGCACCAGGGAGGGGCATGGGTGGCCCAGGACACCAGTGGGGAGGGGATCTCAAATGGTCCTTCAGAGTGAGGATTTGCGGGGAAGATTTTTGGGGTAGGATGAATGGGGTGCTGGGGAAAATGCATCTTGAAAGGTGGTCCTAGTAGGAGACGTGCAGGATCTGGACTAGAAACTCCCCAGAGAAGGAGGGGCTCAGTTGGATGTACTTCCATCTGCTCCTTCCGGGGAGAAGCTCTGAAGGTGTCCTTAAAAGAGGGCTGTGTCCTCCAGAAAGCCTCTGTGTGGAGCAAGGTTGGAACTCTGCCCTTGGGGGGACCCTGCCATGCTCTTGGACAAAGCAGGGCAGTTTGGGGTATGCTGGGTGGAACCACATGGCATATGTGTGCGTCTGCACTTGGCACTGAGAATCACTCACACCCTCGCTGTTTTGGTGTTGGTTATTTTTAGTAGAGATTGTTGGTGAAAGTAGATTAATTGCAAGGGTCTTGAATGTTCCTGAGGAAGGATCTCTGAAGTAGAATTGGGTACTTTTCCCACAGTTTTGGTGGCTGTCCACTTGGAGAGGGACATAGTACCATTGTGCTACCCAGGGTGGCTCTGGGGCCCAGCTGATGGGGAGGGGGCCCTGGCTCTAAGCTCATCAGCTTGGGGGCCACAGGCTGGTAACTTGACCTCTCCATGTCTCACTGTCCGTATAGGTCAGGTGGGAATCATAATAGCGACCACCTTGTAAGGCATGAGGAGTAAGGGAGTTAACTCATGTATTATATGTTACACGCAGTGCCTGGCACCTGGAAGTGCTCAGCACATGTTACCTTTTACTAGTAGTGGTGAACTGCTGGTGGCTACAGCATGTGATAATTGTTTTTAAAACTTATGTGTATTAGTTTCCTATCATTGCTGTAACAAATTGCCACAGTCCTAGTGGCTTAAAACAACACAGATTTTAGATCTTGCAGTTCTGACTTGAGGGTGTCCAGAGTCAGTCTCAGTGATTTTGGTCAGGCTGAGAGGACAGGTGTTGGCGGGATCAATTGTCCCAGGGTCTCCAGGGAAAACCAGTTTCTGTGCTTTTCCCAGCATCTCGAGGCCAGCTGAACTTGGCTGGTGGCCTTTTCTTCCATCTGTGAAGCCAGTAGTGTGGCATCATCACACCTCTGGCCACATGGCTGCTCTCGTGTTGACCCTCCGCCTGCCTCTTATAAGGCCCTGTCATCACCATCTGAACATCCAGGGCCTGCTCCACATCCCATCTGCAAAGTCGTTGCTGTCATGGGGGGACATACTCCTGGTGACAAGGCTGTGGGTGTCTTTGGGGCTGCGCTGCAGCCAACTCCATCGCCAGGGTTAATTGTTGTTGGGCGAGTTGGGTCTTGAAGTTTGAGGACTGCTTCTCTGGCTCCCTGTGGGCTTACACAGGACTCAGACCTACCTGTGCTGTCCCCTCTCTCCTTCCAGGGCTGCGCTGGCGGGGCTGTCACGTAGCCTAATGGAGCGTCTGGCTGAGGAGCATGGTGCGAGTGCGGTGCGGACACTGACCGTGCAGTATCGCATGCACCAGGCCATCATGCGCTGGGCATCAGAGGCCATGTACCACGGGCAGCTCACGGCCCACCCCTCTGTGGCAGGGCACCTCCTGAGGTGAGTGGCCTGGCCCTGCCCCACCTGCCCCCGGCCCCCAGTCTTTCTGCCTCTCACCTATTTCTTTCTTTCTTTCTTTCTTTTTTTTTTTTTTTGAGACAGAGTCTTAACTATGTCGCCCTCGGTAGAGTGTTGTGGCATCACAGCTCACAGCAACCTCAAACTCTTGGGCTTAAGTGATTCTCTTGCCTCAGCCTCCCAAGTAGCTGGGACTAAAGGCGACTGCCACAATGCCTGGCTATTTTTTTGTTGTAGTTGTCATTGTTTAGGAGGCCCAGGCTGGGTTTAAACCCTCGAGCCTTGGTGTAGCTGACCAGTTCCCTAACCACTGAGCTATGGGTGCCAAGCCCAGTGTCACCTATTTCTAAACAGCAAGCTCAAGTGAGGTTTGTTAAGATGTGTTCTGTTAGATTTTTTTATTTTTTTGAGACAGAGTCCCAAGCTGTTGCCCTGGGTAGAATGCCATAGTGACATCATAGCTCACAGCAACTTCCAACTCTTGGGCTCAAGTGATCCTCTTGCCTCAGTTTTTTGTATTTTTGGTAGAGACAGGGGTCTGGCTCTGGCTCAGGCTGTTCTCAAACCTGTGAACTCCAGCAATCCACCTGCCTCAGCCTCCCAGAGTGCTAGGATTATAGGTGTGAGCCACCTTACCTGGCATGTTCTGTTAAGATTTTAGAGTTTAAGTCAACCCCGAGGCTGATTCTGGAAGGCAGCACGGTCTTGCCTTGGGGAGCTGGGCCTGGCCATTCCAGTCTGTGTTGTCTGAGCCTGTCCTGCTCCCTGGGGCGGTCCTCTAGGAAGGAAAGGGCCAGTTCTGTGGTAGAGGTTTCAGGGCTACTCTCTGGCCAGGCTCTAATGTGCTCCCTCTCTGCCTGTGTGCCAGGGACCTCCCAGGCGTGGCAGCTACAGAGGAGACAAGCATACCTCTGCTCCTGGTGGACACTGCCGGCTGCGGGCTGTTTGAGCTGGAAGAAGAGGACGACCAGTCGAGGGGCAACCCTGGTGAGCCTGCTGGGGATGGGCCCACTTTTTAAAAACAAAAGTTACTTTAAATTGCCTAATTTAGGGAGGGGCTGAGTTATAGGTAAGAGCAAGTTATTGATGAGATATGCAAGGTCTGGAGCCAGACTCTCCAGAAGTCAGGCAACGTTGACATCAGGACGTGACAGCTGGGTAGCACCATGGTCTTCACTGAAATGTGGTGGCCTGGCATGGCCTGGTTGGTCTGGCTGAGAGAATCCATGCTCAGCCACGCCTCTGCCTCCCTGGTTCCCAGTTGCACAGGCTGCAGGCCATGCCGACACTGAGACGGTGCTCACCGTGTCTGTGCAGTCCCAGTTAGCCGGGTGCCGCCAGCCCTGGCTGCCTCCCATGCAGCCTCCACAGGCATGTGCAGGATCAGCCACCACTGACAGAAAAGAGCTCAAATGTGGGTGTCAGCTCAGCGTGCCCCTGGCCCTGACAATCCATCTTAATTCCTCTCCAGGAGAAGTCCGTCTCGTCACTTTGCACGTCCAGGCTCTGGTAGATGCTGGTGTCCAAGCAAGTGATATTGCTGTCATCACACCGTACAACCTTCAGGTGTGGAGGGACCCCTGTTTTGTCTCACTATACATCACTTGGGACTCAAACAACCTAGAGGCCCAAAGAGAAAGGATAATGTATTAGCCATTGTGACCCATAAGTCCAAGGGCAGGGTGACCTCATCATAACTGGATCCATGGCCCAAATGATAACTGCAAGAGCTTTTCTGTCTGTCCCTCCATCTTACCTGCCACACCCCTGCCCCATCCTGGTCTCTCAGCCTGCTCCCCTGGCATTGGCCTGGTGCTCCGGCCAGCTTTCCCTGGTGGCCCCAGCAACCTCAGGCTGGCATTGTCCTCTATAGGCAGCCCTGTGGAAGAGCCTGTCTTCTAAGGGTATTTCTCAGAAGAGTCTCAGCCTTGAGTCTTACTGGACTGGCTCAGGTCACGTCCTCAAGCCTGTCTTGTGTAGCAGAATATACCTGCTTGGGTTTCGTGGGTCCATGGAAGTGGTTGTCCCCGTTCCTGGGGCACAGGCATCATCACAGGGCTGTCTGAGGCACATAAGCTGAAGGAAATGACAAAATGCCAGTAATGGACGTGTCATCCCTGATATGCCATCCAGCTGTTCATTCATTGTGTGCCTGTGAGGAGCTTGGGGTCTCAGAGCTGCCCTGGCTTGGCAGTGGCTGAGGCCGCAGCTCTCTTCGAGTGTTTCAGGTGGACCTGCTCAGGCAGAGCCTTGTGCGTCGGCACCCCCAGCTGGAAATTAAGTCCGTCGATGGCTTCCAAGGTCGAGAGAAGGAGGCAGTGATATTGTCCTTTGTCAGGTCCAACAGGAAAGGTACACAGTCCTCATCTGGGCCCCTGGGGACAACACAAGGTGTGCATGTTGATTCTGAGGGCACACGGCATCTCTGGTAGGTGCCAAGCCAGTGGCTGGCCATGGGGCCGTAGGGCACATCACTGTCCAGTAGAGAGACCATTTGACATGGTGCAGTGAGGGTTCCAGTGGGACACGCTCTGGAGTCCAGGCCAGCCGGCAGGGAGTGGTCCTGGGAGGTGATACAGGGAACAGATTGCAGAGGCTGAGAGGCTGAGGCACAGTGAGGGGCAGGCAGCTGGTGGGCAGGAGCAGAAATGGCCTGGACTCTGAGGAGATGGAGCCCTCCAGCACAGAGCCTGTCTTTCAGCCTCTGTGTCCTGGTCCTCAACGTGTGGTTTTTGTGCTCATGTTTTCTGGGCACCCTGTCCAGTAAGAAATGGGTGCCCAGACATGCAATGCAGTGAACAGGGGAGGCTGACAGCAGATAAGGAAGTGGGACGGGCTGTGGTGGGAAATAGACAGTCAGGTACTGGGAGGTCCCTTCTGGTCTCTCTCGAGCATCACCCGGAGCTACTTCCGTGGGTGGCCTCCTTGGCCTGTGCTTAGTAGGGAGTTGGTTCTGACTTGGAAATGAGCAAGAGTCTGCAAGCCATCAAAACCCAAACCAAGCACCCTGGAGTTGGACATGGCCAGCGGGGTAAGCCGGGAGCTGGGGCAGGTGTGGCGTCCAGCCCGCCTGCAGAGGGCCAGCTGTGGTGTGGCAGACTGGCGTCTGCTTCTTACTCTTAGGTTGAGTCCTTCCTTCCCTCTGGTCCTTTTTTAGGTGAAGTTGGTTTTCTTGCTGAGGACCGGAGGATCAATGTGGCTGTTACTCGTGCCCGGCGCCATGTGGCGGTCATCTGCGATTCCCACACCATCAGCAACCACACGTTTTTGAAAACACTAGTGGAGTATTTCTCACAGCATGGGGAAGTGCGCACAGCCTTTGAGTATCTTGATGACATTGTCCCTGAAAACTACTCCCACAAGAGTGCCCAGGGCCACAGCCAAGCTGCCATGAGGTCCCAGCTTCCTGCTGCATCTGTGAAGAAGCCTCTTGGAAGCCAGCGACGGGAGGGGGCCTTGGAGGCCAGAGCAGCTGCTCAGCAGGACCGGAAGAAGCCGGGTGGGAAGCCTTTGGGCTCAGAAGCCCATTTGCAATCCAGCCTCAACAGGGGCAGCTCAGAGGGAGTAGAGAACAGGGGCAGTGTGGACCACTTCAGGGCCATGATAGTGGAGTTCCTGGCCAGTGAGAAGATGCAATTGGAGTTTCCTGCTTCCCTGAATTCCCATGATAGGCTCAGGGTCCACCAGATAGCTGAGGAGCACGGGCTGAAGCATGACAGTGCCGGAGAAGGGAAACAGAGGTTCATCACTGTGAGCAAGAGGGCCCCGGCTCCCCTGGCTTCTCCAGCTCCCCCAGCTCCCACAGCTCCCATGGCTCCTCCGGCTCCCACGGCTTCCCCGGCTCCCCCGGCTCTCATGGCTCCCATGGCTCCCCCGGCTCCTCCAGCACCCACTGTAGGGGCCAGTGGCCAAGCCCCTCTCCAGCCAGCACCCCCCAGCCCTGTGCAGACGCAGCACCCTCCTAGGGGGCAGCAGGGCCAGGGCCAGCTAGACCTGAAGGCGCTACACTTGGAGAGGCTGCAGAGGGAGCAGGCTAGGCAGGGGCAGCCAGCCAGGAACGGGCAGCAGGCTGCGGGCTCAGGGCCACAGAAGCTTCCAGGAAAGAAAAAGAAAAGAGAAGTAAAAGGTAAATCATGTAAGAGCACAAGGGTGGTGTTCTCTCACAGTGTGTTGGCCCCTCTTAAAACCCGCCTACCCCTCGGGAAAAGAACCGAGGTCTCCTCTGCCTGTGTCTTTGCACTTTACTTTTCCTCCTGTGACTTGCATCTCCTGGCTTGCTCTGGGATCCTCTAGGGCAATGATTGGGTATGGTCACCTTGTCCCTGAGCCGTGTGCAGGGCTGGCACATAGGAGGCGCTCAGAGTATGCTTACTGGATAGAAAGGCCTGGAAGAGCAGGTGTGGACCACTTGCTGGAGCTTTTTGTGGACAAGTGTGATCATGGGCTCCTGCACTGCAGGCAGCCCTGGAGGGCCATGGTCTTTTGCAGCAATAGGGCTCAGTCTGGTAGGAAGCTGCCTAGGACAGAGTGCTCTGAGTGGGGCACCCTGAGTGCAAAGCCACTCCTGCAGGTGGGCTGTGAGTTCCATGATGGCCCTTTCCCTCTTGGCAAGACTACAGAGGAGTGCTCGCTCCTGTTTATCCATTTAATTCCTGCAAGCAGAGCTGCATGAGCTTAATTCAAGGTTTTTGAAACTAGCCTCCCAGTACCTGAGGCCCCTGGTGCAGTCATCCCTGAGATACTAACCGAGAAGCTGCTGTGTGCCAGCCTTGGGCGGAAGAACAAGGCTGCTGCCAGCTCTCCCCTCACTGGCCCTGACAGTGCCGCAGAGGAAGTAGACACGTCTGCTTTTGCGAGTACAGTGATGCCCTAAAGGGGAGGGTGCCACACCTGTGTGACAGTGGGGCCTGGCCTCCCCTGGAAGGAGCAGTGTGTGCTAGTCTGTGCATCGTGGTCACATTAGAACTGAGCGCCCTGGGGCAGTCTCGTCCAATCTCAGGGATCCTGGCACCACATTTGAAGTGCTCTTTTAGGCAGCCACCTTCAGAGTCTGTTTTGCCATTCCAGCTCTGAATGTGATCTGTCTTGCTAGGTTACAAACTCTGTGCCAGTGTCCTAACTGGCAGCTGAGAAGCAGGGACGGACAGTGGGGAGGCCACATGGACATGTGCACAGGGCTTGCTCCAGGGGCGCAGGGGGCTGTGGCTGCCTGTAGACACACAGTAGCGTGGCAGGGTCACGTGAGCCTCTTGCTGGAGGCTGAGGTGTTGGGTATAGTGATGGGGATAGGCTGCCTTGTGTTTTTGATGTCTTCTCCTTGCTCCCCACTGGGGTCTGGACATGCTCTGCCTGATCTCCAGGTCTCGTCCATTTTCTAAGTACTCTTCTTCCACGGAGGAGGCTGAGATTACAGGGTGCCATGGTCGACTTGGCCTTCTTCAGAGCTGTTGGTGCTACTTCTGGCTGCGTAGCCCCAGTCAGTGCCTTTCTCCCTGCCCGAGCCCAGTGGCCTCTGGGCCTTGCGTGGAGCTGACCCTGCAGGCTTCCCTGCCTGAGGGGAGGTGGGCAGGGGGTGTACCCCATATTTGCAGAGTTATGGTAGCCACAGTGCCTGCCTATGAGGTGGGGCTCCTGGGAGACACTAGGCTGGCACCATGGCCTTCTTGCTCCCCACCTCTGAGGCCGACCACTCTGACCACAGAGCATCTGGCTTCTGCGGCATGCCCAGAACAAAGAGCCACACAGGGAAACTGGGACAGAAGCAGGTTCCCCACGTCCCATACCCCAGAGCACACTGACACCAGCTGCCCACACAGGGAAACTGGGACAGGAGCAGGTTCCTGTGCCCGGTACCCCAGAGCACACTGACACCAGCACAGGAGCAGGTTCCCGTGCCCGGTACCCCAGAGCACACTGACACCAGCACAGGAGCAGGTTCCCCTGTGCCCCATACCCTAGAGCACACTGACATCAGCTGCCCACACAGGGAAACTGGGACAGGAGCAGGTTCCCCACGTCCCGTACCCCAGAGCACACTGACACCAGCTGCCCACTGTTCCTTCCCTTTGCTCTCTGTGCAACTTGATGTTTGTATTTGCATGTTTCTGTCATGTGTGTTTTATAGAATTACCGCCATGTATAACTTTGTCTCTGTTCCACCTATGAGCATTTTCCTGTAACTAAAAAATATTTCATGCATCTGGTTAAAAATGCTAAGGGTCTCCCAGTGCGTGGACTGTTTCTCTGGTGTTGGACTTTTATTTTGTTTGGGGTTTTGTTTTTATGGTTGATGTCATAAGGAATACCTTGTACTTGAATGTTTTTCTGGATTACAGAGGGTGAACTTTTCAGACATTTTGTGTACACTGTTAGCCTCTTCATGGAGTCTTTGTCTGTTCTCAAACAGTGACCTCCCAGCAGTGACCACAGGGCTTGTGTTTAGTGGGATGTTTTTAGGTTACTAGCTCAGTGAAAAACAAGGGGAAGCCCAAGGGGACGTCTCACAGCCTGGATGGACACCGAATCTGACTGAGTGGACGCAGGAGGTGGTGGGTGATAGGGGCTGCTCTGCTGTGTCCACCATCCCCTGTGGGGGTCCCAGCTCCTAGTCATTATGCTTTTTGTGTTTGCTGGAGTGACACTTCTCTTCTCTCAGGACACACAGCCACAGATCTGCCCGCAGAGGACTTTGATGCCCTGGTTTCTGCTGCCGTGAAGGCTGATAACACCTGTGGCCTTGAGAAGTGCACAGCCAGTGTTGCGACCCTCGGCCAGTTCTGCCAGCTCTGTGGTCGCCGCTACTGCTTCAGCCACCACCTGCCTGAGGTATAACTGCTTCTCTCCCGAGGATTGGATAATAGGGAAGGGTGGCAGAAGCTTCATCTCTAGAGACAGGTCCTGGGCAGACTTGCTCCAGACACCTCTGAATGCCTTGAGGGTGGCTTCCTTAAAAAACAGAGCACAGACAATGACTTGTGATTTGCTGAGCAGGACTAAGTACAATGTCATATCTGCTGAATTACAGCCATGTGGGTGGGATTCTGTGCAGAGCGCGTTCTGCCCAGTGTCTTTGGGCTCAGCGTGTCTGCTCAGCATGGGCTGGAGGTGTTTTGTTGTCCCTTCCTACAGCATGTGGGGATGAGAGCCCTCTAGACAAGTGTGGGCGCCTGTGTGGTGCTGGGGGCTGCAGCAGGCCTTGTCTCTGCCCTGGGGGTGCTGGGCCTGGGTAGGGGAACAGCTCACAGTGCTCCCAGGAAAGAAACCCAGGGGCCAAGGTGGCCTCTGGGGCACCCACCAGATGCAGCAGTCAGAGTGGGCTTCTTGGAGGAAGAAACATTGGGGCTGAGACCTAACACTGGGGCTGGATGGAGGATAGAGATCTGAGCAAGGGGTGGAGGTGACTGTAGGCCTGCAGACAGCCTTACATGTGTGCAAAGGATGGGAGAGTCGAAGCTGGGCCCTGGGAGCTGCCCAGAAGAGTCAGACCTGACCTGGAGAAGGCAGGGGCCCTGGGGTCAGCCAGGGCTGTGATGTTGCCAGACGTGGCTGCAGCATGGAGGAGGTGGAGGCCAGGAGGCAGCATGAAGTGGCCCAAGGACTGTTGGTTAGTCCAGGTGGTGCCGTTTCCTGTCTACACACTCTAGGTGCCCCAGCCGCCAGCCCTGCCAGGGAGCAGAGCCCCACACCCACCCGGCGGCCTGCAGGGGGAAGGAGCACTGGGGCGTCCTCTCCATGGTCTCATGCTGGGTCGCTGAGCTCTCTAGCTCTCTGATGGGCTGCAGGGTCTCTCTCTCCCTGCCCTGTGCAGCCCACCACTGACTCATGTGTCCTCCCCAGATCCATGGCTGTGGTGAGAGGGCTCGCATCCATGCCCGACAGAGAATCAGCCGGGAAGGGGTCCTCCATGCTGGCAGTGGGACCAAGGACAGGTCCCTGGACCCCGCCAAGAGGGCCCAGCTCCAGAGAAGGCTGGATAAGAAGCTGGGTGAGCTCAGCAGCCAGAGGGCGAGCAAGAGGAAGGAGAAGGGAACCTGAGCGCCTGTCCCTGTCCTCGCACAGGACCCTGGAGTGAGCACAGCCTGGGGAAGGGCCAGGCTGCACTGGGGGAACCTGCTGACCTGCACCAAGCCCATACTCTGCCTCCAGAGGCCCACATGGGGTAGAGAGGCCCCAGGGAGAGGTTGGACTTTGGACCCCAGGGATAAGCATGGAAGAGAGGGCCCTGGGGGCAGTGGTCCACCTCCAGGTGGCTGTTTCGCTTTGTGGGTGGGTGCGTACAGGAGTGAGTCCTTCCCACTCCCACAGGCCCTGCTTCCCAGTCCCTTCCTTCACTGCCAGCTTCTGGGCCCTGGGAAAGGTTCTGCTTTCTTGGACACATGCTGGCCAGCTTTCAGCCCCTTTGGACAAGGGTGCCATACAAACCAGGAAACTCAGGCCCTGGTAATGTGGGCTCACGGTAATGTGGGTCCCTAGCTGTGAGAAGTGACGGTCTCCAGATGCCTAAGGCCCTTTTCCTTCTGTCCCCTGGTGCCTGCAGTGACATCCACCCTGGCCAGGGCAGCAGGCGCAGCTCTCACCGTTCTGCTTCTCCTGAGTCTGGGGCCCCCTGCCCTCTGCTAGCCCTTCCTCTGTGCTCAGTTTGGGGACCAAGTGACTGTCCTGGGAAAGAGCTGCCTCAGAGCCCTCCAAGCTTGTCTAGGGCTCTCTGTTCTGTTTAAGAGAACTTTAGATGCATATATTTTTGCCTCAGGTTTTTGTTTTGTGCCAAAGGGATATAAATTATATTAAAAATTAAATAAAGGCTTGGCGCCTGTAGCTGAAGCAGCTAAGGTGCCAGCCACATACACCAGAGCTGGCAGGTTTGAATCCAGCCGGTGCCTGCCAAACAATGACAACTACAATCAAAAAATAGCTGGGCTATGTGGTGGGTGCCTGTAGTCCCAGCTACTTGGGAGGCTGAGGCGAGAGAATCGCTTAAGCCCAGGAGTTGGAGGTTGCTGTGACCTGTGATGCCATGGCACTCTACCCCAGGGCGACAGCTTGAGGCTCTGTCTAAAAAAAAAAAATAATAAATAAAAATATATATGCACATATATATATATATATTGTGCACAGTATGTTTGCTGTGTGTTTCAAATTCCAGACTGTCCCACCCTCCCCCCTTCCCATGGCAGATATTCCTGGCACAGACTGTTGCCCACTCTCCCTAAATTCCACTTATGCCCCATTTATTGACATTTATGGATGTTATGGACGTGGTGGCCTTCAGAGTGCAACCGGCCTCCCTGACCTGCACACAAGGGGCTGTCCCCTGATACCATTTATCACCCCTGTATTGAGAGGGTCCTGTAGGACACACCTGCACAAAATGCCAAGCCCACACACTGACCACCCTGCCCTTCCTGGTGCTGGTCCACTCTCTCTCCCTGCCCAGCCTGACGCCCCACGCTTGACCACCAGGGTGCCCCCTTTCCTTCTTGCTCCCGTCAAGTGGCTTTGGGACAGTGTTGGGGTAGGGGCAGGTCTGACGCTGCAGTTCATAGTCAAGTGCCACGCAGAGTTCATCCAATTACTTTGTGAGCACAGACAGTGCTGCCGTGCAGAGTGGCACTAAGCGTCAGTCATCCTGACAGGTGGCTGCAGCATTCATGCCCTTTGGGACACTTTGGCTAGTGGGAAGCAGAGTTGCTGTTCTGTAGGCAACATAGTGCGGTGGGCAGAGTGTTGTCAGCCAAGCACCTGGGCTTCGTCTCCCTGACCACCCCCTGACTGTGCCCTCCACTGTGTCAGAGGACTTCAACTTTCTGGCCACAGCAAGCCAGGTTCAGGGATGGAGCAGAATCCAAGCAGGTTCAGAGTTCTGTCCTGGGGTTGACACACAAATGCTAAAATAACTTGGCTCTTCCACTGGGGGAGGCCCGTAGCCACGTTCTCTGGCTCCTAGGGGAAGCCTGTCTGCAGAAGAGGGTGCTAAAAAGAAATGTCCAATCAGGTGGGGGAATGGCCTGATGGCTGTCTGAGACCTGGATCTAGCCACATCTGACTCGACCCCACTCTTCCCACCATCTTGAAGTAGTAAATCCCCTTCTTTAGCTGAAGAAAGACTGCCTCAGATTTTAGCCACTTGGTACTAGAGGATCTTTGCTGATCCTAGGTCTTGACTACATCTGCCTACCGTACTGGGTGTACCCACTCCCAGCAGGGGTGGTGCAGAATCAGTGCCCTCCCCCCATTAGAGGAGAAAGAGCAGGGCTAGCATCTTCACCCAGGTGCAGCTCCTGTGGGCCATCCCACCAGGAAGAGCTGGAAGTGGCCAGAATGGTAGGAAGCCTCCAGGATCAGAGGGACCTGCATCTGAATGCCAGCACCACGTGTAGGGATGTGTGGCTTCAGCAAGCCACACCCCCTCGCTGAGCCTGTGTGCTCATCTGTAAAGCAGATGTGGATAGTCACTACCATGCCAGCTGTGCTGAGACGCTGAAGAAAGGGATAGTGTGAGCATAAGGCCCTCGCAAGGCCTGGGTCTGGGTTAGAGGTCTCCACAGCAGTGCCTGGCGGTGTCTGTCTCAGGGCTGCCACTCCCGGCCTCGGCCCCTCATGGAGCATTCTCTCTTTCACTGCTGGTCTTGCTAAGCTTTGCTCAAAGCGTCATTAAAATGTCAGAGTGGAAGTTTGCAACATAAGTTTTCATTTCTCCTTCCAGGGAGGCCTTGTTAGGAAAATGTTTTTAGCTGGTTGTTTGAAAAATGTCCTCCTGTTTGCCCAGGACAGCCTAGTTCCAAAAAAGGAAAAACATATCCCAAGCCAGTGTTTCCCTTGCCAGCAAGTAAGGACAGTCTTGCTGGGAGTGGCTGCAGCCCATGGCCCTTCCAGGAGCTGGGACAGCCAGGAGGTGAGGATTCCCTTTCAGGGAGAACTGCCTGCTGCACTCTGGAGGTGCCATGGGATGCAGTGGCAGCACAGTGCGGCCGGGGTCCCTGTCAGCCCTGGCATTGTTCCTGGGCTTACTGCTGATGTGCTGCTTGTTTTTGTGCCTCAGTTTCCTTCTCTGTAAAATGGGGAACTGACAGGCCCCTCTCTCACAGGATCGTGTGAAGATGAGTTAAAATACCCAAGGTCATGGGAACAGCGCCTGCCACCTCACTGTGCTGTCATCATCTTCATCATCTTGCAAAGCTTCTGTGAAGAGCAAGTGTACCCTACAGTGGGGGCCCTTCTTGCTCCAGAGTAGGAGAGTACCCAGGGCCTGGGGACCCTGAGCCGGTCACCTGCTGGGCCGGTGGTACTCCCCAGCGTGGGTGAGCCCAACTCCTCGAGAGCTCGCCCCCGCCCTCTGCTGGATGGACCCAGGATAGTGACTGCTGCATGTTTACTTTGGCTGCTTTGGACTAATCGTACCCTGGAGCACTGCCCCTGGGGATCACCAGAGTGGGCACATGCTGCTGTGGGTGGTTTTAAGCTTACGTTACAACCTTGGCACTTAAAAGGAATTGGGTTCTTTGCCAGGGGCATGGCAAAAGCCACAGCCTTATTTGGTCTGGAAACTTATTTGCGTGCAGGAGAAAGTGGAGCGGGCAGATATTTGGCTGGGTCTGAATTATCCCAGGACGTGCTGTCCAGTTTGTGAATTATTTTGATCTCTCACTTCTCCGTTTGGGCTGCTCACCTTTTCCAGCAGGGAAGCTTCCCTTCTGTACAGAGCCACAGCTGATCCCTGTCTCCCCTGCCCCAACGGCCAGTGGTCTTGTCTTTGCCTTTCTTTTCTTTCTCTCTTTCTGTCCTTTCTTCTTGTCTCACTCTGTTGCCTGAGCCAGAATGCTGTGGCATCGTCATAGCTCTTAGCAACCTCAGACTCCGGGGTTTGAGCAATCCATCCTCCTGCCTTAGCTTCCCAAGTAGCTGGGACTACTGGCACCTGCCACAACACCCAGCTAATTCTTCTATTTTTAGTAGAGACCTCAGGCTGGTCTCAAACTCCTGAGCTCAAGCAATCTGCCCGTCTTGGCCTCCCAGAGTTCTGGGATTCCAGGTGTGAGCCGCTGCACCCAGCTGCCTTTTTCTTTTTTTAATAATCTAAAGGCAGTTCAAAGCGCACCTGTCTTGAGATGTAATTATCATACAGTAAAATTCATGTGGGAAGTATGAGCGTGAGGGCTGATGTGGGCTTGCAGGTAATCTCTGCTCCCACCCTCAGCCCCAGGCAGTGGCCGGTCAGCTTCCTGTCCCTATCAATTGCCTTTCCTAGAAACTTCATGTCAATATAGACTGTCCCCCACTTAATGCTGGTTGGACTTAGTAGTTTTTAACTTTATGATGGTCCAAAAATGCTGTGCCTTCAGCAGAAACTGTAGTTCAAGTACCCAAACAACCACGGTTTTTCCCTTTCAGTACAGTATTCAATAAATTACAAGAGACTCAACACTTTCTTATAACAGACTGCCTGTTAGATGATTCCGCTCAGTACGTGTTCTTAGTGCGTGCCTGTTAGGCTAGGCTAAGCTCTCCTTGTGGCAGGTCAGTATGTTAAATGTACTCTCAACTTACCATATGATCTGCTTAGGCTGCATCTCTCAGGAGCCGCCCACTGTGAGCCGAGGAGCCTCTGCATACAGACTTCTGCATCAGGTTCTTTTGCCAATACTTTGCATGTTTTCGAGGTTTGCCCAAGTGGTAGCATATGTCAGAGTCCCATTCCTTTTTATTTTCAGGTAACATCCTACTGTATGGCTGCCCCACATTTTGCTTTTACACTTGTGGACATTCCGATTTCTTCCACGTTTCGGCTCTTATGAACTGCAGGGCTGCTGCGAATATTCACCCTCCAGTCTTCGTGCGAACATGACTTCCATTTTTCTTGGGTAGAGTCTCAGATATGGAATTGCTGGGTCATATGGGAAGTTGGTGTTTATTTTTTAAAAAAACTACCAAACTTTGCCAGAGTGGTTGTGCCATCACATGCTGTGTACGAGGGTTCCAGTTTCTCCACGTTCTTTTTTTTTTTTTTTTTTTTGAGACAGAGCCTCAAGCTGTCCCCCTGGGTAGAGTGCTGTGGCCTCACAGCTCACAGCAACCTCCTACTCCTGGGCTCAAGCGAGTCTCCTGCCTCAGCCTCCCAAGTAGCTGGGACCACAGGCGCCCGCCACAACGCCCGGCTATTTTTTGGTTGCAGCCGTCATTGTTGTTTGGCGGGTCCGGCTGGATTTGAACCCGCCACCTTAGGTGTATGTGGCTGGCGCCTTAGCCACTTGAGCCACAGGCGCGGAGCCTCTCCACGTTCTTGGTAACGTTTGGTATTGTCTAATCATCATCATCACTATTCTAGTGGGTATATCATGGGATCTCATTGTAGTTTAAGCTTATATTCCACTCGAGACTCATGCTGTTGACCTCCTTTTCATGTGCTTTATGAGACATTTGGGTGTCTCCTTTGGTGAAACTTCTATTCAAATCTTGTGCTCATTTTTAAGGTGAGTTTAAGCGTTTTATTAATTGAGACATAAGATATTTTTATGCATTCTGGGTAGCAAACTTTTATCAGGTATATTACATACAAATATCACCTCTTAGTCTTTAGCTTATGTTTTCTTTCTTTCTTTCTTTCTTTTTTTTTTTTTTTACTTTTTGGGACAGAGTCTCACTCTATCGCCCTGGGTAGAGTGCTGTAGTCTCAGACTAGCTCATGGTAACCTCAAACTCTTGGGCTCAAGCCATCCTCCGGCCTCAGCCTCCTGGATAGCTGGCACTATAGGTGCCCACCACAGTGCCCGGCTAATTTTTTTTTTTAATCTCTTTTCAGTAGA